GTATGAAGATTGAATCCATATACTCTTAGTTATCCTAAAACTGACCGCAGCTTAATAATAGCCTGCAAAATGATAAACAATCCCACACTGTCGAACAGAAGGACAGCACTGTTCTACCGGAGCAAATCAAGAACGAGGATTCTTCAGAACTGGTTAAAACTTGAAGAATGGAAAAAACACAAGTCACTGTCCAGATAAACTAAAGAAAGCCACCCTCATGAATTTAGTGATAAAAGTGAAGTCTAACTTCTTTTTCTCCTGAGTCCGTTACGTGCCGAATTGCCTGCTAGACAACACAGCGATAAATTTCTCAGTAACTTATTTTACTGAGTTTTGTCGACCTGTCTGACCGATTGTATGGAGAAAAGACATTCCTGATTCTAAGCGTCAGTAAACGGGTACAAACCATTCATTCCCTTCAAAATAAATAAAAACCCATCCTTTCACTGCACAGTGATCCACTCAAAACCAAGAATCGCTCTAAAACGCTTGGAAGTCGGCACCGAGGAGCAGTAATTTTTCAAGCCCATTCAAACGATATTGGATATTGGTGCTTTCTCCTCTCAGCAGAAAATACCTATTTTGTGAATTATCCGCTTAGGAAACCTGACCTTCCTGGCCGGTGAATTAAATTCAACCATTACTTACATATTGTGGTAAGTTCAGCTGTCTCGAACTACTGCCAAAGCTTCAGCTGCTACTTTTGTGACAGCATCTTCCTCACTCGTTCAGATAAACAAGACTAGTCTGAGGTCGGTCGGTCTAATTCTCTTGTCCTTTTTAATGCACCTGTGAGCAAGGATAGCTTGCTTGAACAACAGGCTCTGTTTGATCAGGAACGATGGTCCAACTTGTGCAATAAATTAGGTCTGAACATTAGTTCAGCGAAATTGCGCAGGCTGCACACGGGTGTAAACACGCCGCAGGGTAAGCCATCCCCATTAAGGGTTACACTGGACTCTACCGGAGAGGCCGAAATAGTACTATTGATGGCTCAGGTACTAGCCATCGACAGAAGTTCGAACATAAGAGTGAGACAAGACAGACCATGGGCTATCAGAAAAATGGCGAGGGAGTCACCGGAACTTTTGCCTTCTACCTCTATGGTGGTACACGGTGTTCCGGAGCTGGAAACGGGCAATGCCTGTGAAAAACACATGCATGACGTACAGCAGTGGCGATGGCTGTCAACCCTTGGCGCTTCTGGAGCCACCTCAATTTCCCGACTACCTCGTTCCGCTCAACTCACACTGGTTAGCTCTCCAAAGCTGCTAAGTGTCACATTCAACTCCCCAGTGCAGTTGGCCATAGCACTTCAACGGTGGTATGAGATCAAGGGGAAAATGGGAGGACACATCCGATGCTGCGAAGGCAGACCCCGAACCGTAAGGAAGCAGCAAACTGAGGCTTTAATACGTCCCCAAGCTTCAGTGGCACTAGAGCGATGCAGTTCTGAGAATAACAGTCTGTCACCCAAGTGTCCTGCCTAAATCCATAGAAAAACTACAACGGGTCGGTTCCATTGGAATTGGACAACTAGTCCGAACATTAAGTCCCCTACCAGCAGACAGCTTCACGTCAACTACCACACAACACGCTGAGGTTGTGAGGCTAACTGTCAGCTGCCTATATAGCAATGTGAGGGGGCTGAGAGGGAAAGTGGGCGAACTCCGAAATCTCCAAGCACACCTACAACTCAAAATGATCATTCTTACTGAAACGTAGCTAACCCCCACTATCGCTGACAACGAAATCAGTATAGGTGATATGGTTCTGGTCAGGAGAGACAGGGATAATAAGTAAGGAGGGGGAGTTGCTATATACTTTGACGAGCAACTTAAATGTGTATGCGCAACGGACCCACCACTTATAGAACTCCCAGACTCCATATGGTGTCATTTCACCGTAGGCCACACCAAGCACTTGCTTGGTAGCATCTACCGATCACCCACCTGTGGGGCAGAGCACAATCAGCTACCGCTCAGCACTGTCACAGGGATACGAGACTTGGGCTATGACCAAATCACCATTGCTGGAGATTTCAATGCCCCATCACTGAGCGTTGGCTCGGGGTATGCTTAGGGAAAATTCAGCCGAAATCTACTGCAAACTATTCGAAATACGGGACTGACTGAGAATGCTGAAGACGACACTAGGTGGGGCCCTAGTGGAAAGTCATCGAAACTAGATTATATTCTAAGTAGTGACCAACTACTCGTCGAAAAGGTCCAGATCATGACTCCTCTATTAAGTAGTGACCATGAAGTCATAGATTTTGATCTCGTTCTCCATGAGCATTTGCAGTGGGACGCTACGCGATCATGTCTGTGTCATAGCAAGGCTAACTATGCTGAAATGCGGAGGCTCTTGTCCGACGCAGACTGGCCCTTAGCATGGGATGAGCTATCTGTGGATGAACACTGGGAAGAGGTAAAAAACATTATTCATAGAGTAATCTCGGATACCATCCCCTTAGTCACAACAAGCCTAAAAGAAAGTCATCATGGTTGAAGAGAGGCACGCAACGTATTCTGCAAGCAAAGAGGAAGGCTTGGTTCACGTGGCACGTATCTAAGAGTCAGATCGACCACGACGCATACCTGGAACTCAGGAACCGGTGCAACGCGAGAGTCAGGAGGGACAGGAGGTCATTCCAGACTAACCTTGCTAAAAAACTCCTAGCAAACCCCAAAAACTTGTATCGATTCATGTCAGAAAGAAAACCAACCAACCAGGGGGCATATGCCTTAGTAGGCCCAAACGGTCAATATTTCACTAGTCTGGAGATGGCTGAAACATTCAGTTTAGCCTTCGCCAAACAGCAAACAGCAATGTGGATATTACCATTACGGACCAAAGTGGTGGCACTACTATTTCGCAGGAGGTAGACCTAGAGGCTGCTCCCCAAATAAACCCCGCAATAGTACTAAGCAAGCTACAGCGACTCACACCTGGGAAGTCCCCAGGTTGTGACGACACCAGGCCATCTGTTCTGAAACAGTGCACCAAAGCTCTCTGTAGGCCCTTATGTGGCTTGTTCCAACACTCAATGGATTCGGGGAAACTGCTGAGGGAGTGGAAAAGAGCCATTCTTTCTCCGATCTTCAAGGGTGGGGATAGGCGAAATGCCACTAGTTATAGACCAGTAGCTCTACTCCCAGTGGTATCAAAAGTACTGGAAAGTATTATTGACGATCACATCAGGGAATATCTCAATAGGTCTAAAATACTCCATGAAGCCCAACACGGTTTCAAGAAAGGCAGATCCTGTGTTGCTAACCTACTATCAGCTTGGGACGATTGGACATCATGCTGAGATATGAATGTTGCGGTCCATGTGGTCTTCCCAGACTTTGAGAAGGTATTTGACATCGTTCACCATGACCTTCTTCTACACAAAACAAGTCAGGCAGGTGTAGGTAAGCCACTTCTGTCATGGATAAAGGACTACCTAGCTGAAAGGCAATTTTGCACTAAGGTCAATCGAGTTCGATCATCTTGGCACAGCTCGTCATCAGGAGTGTAACTGGGTTCTCTCCTGGGACCACTGATGTTTTTGATTTTTATCAATGATCTACCATGCCTTCTAAGCTGTCTGACTCTTCTATACGCTGACAACGTAGAGATATGGAGGGCGGTAAAGTGTCCAGAGGACTCAGATAGGCTGCAGGAAGATCTAAACCTTCTGGAAGACTGGGTGGTGGCCAATGGCATGACTTTCAACCTGAAAAAGTGCAAAGTAGTCAAGTTACTCACCTGTAGACTGCAGAATGCAAGTTACATCCTGTGCAATGGAAGCTTGTCCTGCACACCGTTGGAACGCGACTTAGGTCTAGTTCTAACGGAGAAAATGGACACAAGCGTAAATTACACTGGGGACGTAGTGAGGGCATATGCGGTCATACACTTTACACATAAACAGTTAGGCGCACTCACATCTGACCACACCTTGAAGTACATAATATTATTGCACCCCCAATGCTTAGAAGAGACGCCAACCTCTTGGAAAGAGTCTAACGACGGGCAACAAAAGGAGTGGTTGGTATCCGAAACAAACCATATGATGAAAGGTCTCCTCACACTTAGCTATCGTCGTCTTAGGGGGGATTTAATCACTACCTACAAAATAACAAATGACCAGAATCACCTAAAAAAGGTGTTCTGCCATTGAGTAGGTATAGGCTCCCTCGTGGAAATCCTAGAAGGATAGCTCATCAGAAGGCAAGGACCCGAGTGCGCTCCCACTTCTTTTCACTGCGGGTTTGCCGTCCCTGGAATTCCTTACCGGCAGATGTAGCTTTGGCACCGTCTGTGGGCGCCTTTAAGCGAAGGCTGGACAATCATGCGTCGGTGGCACAGTGGCTAGGACTCTCGCGGACCATGCACATGTTCCGGGGTTCGATCCCCTGCCAGCGCACACCCGATATCTATGGTTGGCCTGTAAATTTGGGCTACCGATATCCATGCTGAAAATTCCATACTTGTACTGAAAATACGGTGTGGAATCAAGCTGTAATCAAAATAAAAAAATAATAAAAAATAAAAATAAAAAAACGCAAGGACTGAGTCCAAATGGCCTATCCCCTTAAAATCCCCTACACCATTCAGGGGTAGACAACTAAATTCGTCCTTTTACTTCTTTACATTCTGACAACTTTAACTACACCTATTATTATTATTACCGATATATTTTTCATATTATTCTTCGAATTTAATCAGGTGACTGTTGTTAGGTTTTCGTATTTCTTTTTCCGTCTGTTAGTCTGAATAACTTCACTAATAATATCTATTATTACTATTATTATTATCTCTTTTCTTTTGACGACGGTACTGGAGGACTAACTGGTGAAAGGATCAACTCCATTAACAGTAGTAACAGTCTTAACACACCTCATACTATAAACCACATATAGTTAATCCCGGCACTACTCCTTTTGGAGTCAACCAAAGCTACGACAGTCGAGTGACGGGACGAGCTACGCAGACGTTTACCAAAGACCAGCAACCTATACCTCACAATCAAGAGGCGAGCACAAAGAAATCAAATTGGTGTATACTGGCTCGTAAAAACGATATTGGATATTGGATATTAGAGGTCGAGGGGTTTTGAATATTCTAGGTCGGCCCGCTACCTTTTGGGGAAAAAGACGGTACATCTGGTTAGAAGGAGCCACCTGAATATGTCGGCAGATTCCCACTTCTCGTTAGTTTTATTTAGATTACCTAACGTTGCACTGTAGATTAGTTCCAAAAGTAGTAAACGGTGGGATTGCAGGGATCGTTGGTGTAACATGTGTTTTCCCAATAGATCTTGTCAAAACAAGAATGCAAAATCAGCGTGAAGGAAGCAAATTATACAAAAACGTGTGAGTTTTAAAACGTAGTCGTATTCTTGGGTCATGTATTTATGTGTACATATGCATATGGGTGAAGGTTCTACAACAGTGAAATACTTATAATATTATCTTGTGTTCCTACTGTCGTTTATCTTGAATCTTCTGGAGAATTTTAGTGTGGATATTCACTGAATTCATAAAGGTCATGTGGGAATATTTAAATTTCCTTGCGAATAACCGAAATTTCAATGAAATTCAAGGTGCCCTGTAACAATTCAAACAGCGAGATGGACATGGAACCCCCTAACATAATGATATAGATTAGAGTTGCTAAATTGGAGCACTACACAAGTCAAGGAAAAGTCAACGGAATGTCTAGTTGTACTATAATTGATAGATGGTTAGTGTGGTGTGCGCTTATGGAAATGTATTGGTGGTTATTACCTCCAGGCTGCCCACATCATGGAACTAGGATGTTTAGTAAAGACGGTCAGTAGCTCACACGTGGCATTTCTTAGATATGCAACAACCCTGATGGTTGACTTCTCAGTGACTAGTGTGGTACAGCCCACTTCTACACAAGAAGAACTGTGTGATAAAGATATTCGTCAGACTGCATATTGCCCGATTTAAATAGGCTTGGAACCTTTTATACCCAATCAAAAATATAAAAAAATGCAAATAGTATATTTATAATATAAATATGCAGTCTGACAAATATCTTCATCACACAACTCTTAAGCAAAAGTGGGTTGTACCGCGCTGGTTAGTGAAGAGTCAACTATTGAGGTTGTTGTATAGTTCTCCAACAAGTATCTGCCCTCGTGATAGTGTGCCATGGTCCTTAGGTCATGACTTACTATGACGCATAGGTGCGTCCCTGTGGATTGAATTAATTTGTTGGGTTTTTGTGAGATTCACTTGTCTTGGTGGTCTATTTTGTTACAAACCGATATAAAAGAAAAAGATGTCCGTAGTACTCTTCGTATTCTTCCTTGTACTTCAGCCTCCCAATGTCTTTATCACACAGAAAATAAAAAAAAAACCGTATAATAGCATTTTGTATGCATTTTGGATAAACATTATTATAATTCATGTTGTAATATACTGTTTACTGAATTCTCTCTATTTCTGATATTATGTCGTTTTAATTGTTACTATTCGAAATCATTGTCTTTATTTCGAAAACCTAACTAAATTAAGAAGCAAAAATTATATAACGCATATTAATGCACCAAAAAAACAGTAAAGATTTTCTGTATTCACGGAGCTGTATTAAAAAAGGACATGGTGTTTTAATATTATTGGTGGATAGAGTTTGGCGAGCCGTCATCGTGTCCTTCGTTGTATTAAACTGTGTTATTTTTTCAATAGTTTGGACTGTGCTGCGAAGACATACCGCGCTGAGGGTTTCTTTGGCATGTATAGAGGTGAGTGACTAATTTTTCTTTTAATAACTGATGTGTGCAATCATGGTCATTAAACTTAGTTGCTTACACTGGTGGGACATGTCTTCCTTAAATGCCCAGATATATGAAGCATATAACCTACTTAATTGTTGTTTATATCCATTTTGTCATTAGATTCGAGTTACTTAGTTTTTCTTTCGGTTTGATTTACTCCCGTCTTTTTATATTACGTTTGCCACTCTATGTGGGTTCACTTGTGTTTAAGCCTACGCATGTGATAATGTTGCTAAACCAGAAGCAAACCAAGTAGCAACATTACTTGCTGATTTGGTTGCGGATATAATTTCTCTTGGGTAAAGTTAAGCAATGACACGTTATTCGGATAGTTTGCAACATCATTGGAGCTGGCAACTTGATACTGTGGAGGATATAAATGACTTAAAAACAGTCAGAGATACTTTCATATCCACTCATTATTACTCATATTTCTAACGTCTGAAGGGTATTTATTCAAGTTATCCTACTTCATGTCTACTTGAGTTTTATTTGTTTAAATATAACTCTGTATTCGTTGACTTTCTCTGTTTCGTAATGCTTTGAAGAGTGTTCCACTTTTCTCATGAGTTTAGTTTGAATACAGATTTGTAATGTGTTTATAGAAAAGAATTAATATAGAAAGGTACCGTGAGTTAGTTATTTTAGGTTTGAAAAATAGGCTAGGTAATTCAGTCAAAATGAAGTACGTTTAGTAGTTTAGTTACACCTTCATAAGGTAACGACGTTAGTATCCACTCTCTTAATGTGACTCGAAATTAGCATGTCACTGAGATTTTCATATGCGATAATTATGAGTTATACTACACCTTTATTCGAGTGCAGGTCAACAGTAGGACACAGATTTACTTTCTAAGATATAAATCAAAACTAATTTGGGAGTACTCATCACACTATTCTGCTATTCTGGTTGTAGATCGAAATGAAGCTAGTGTATTGATCCTTAATTTGAAGCGACGACCACCACTTTACTTTGTAATATTAGGAATTTAAGATTCACCCATGAAACTGAATATCAGTGGAAAAAAAATGAAAATTTATAGTCATTATTGCAAATCCACTAGTGGTGTAGTAAGTTTCTCATTTTTCGTGACATATGTGTTATCTTGACTACAATTTTTGTGCACATATGAGAACTAATTTCGTTGAGGTATGAGTATAACGTAATAAATTATTCAGCGGTTGTGTTCTGATAGACTAGTTGTTACTCTGCACTGTTATCTTTGAAGATATAACTCTCTTCCTCGTTATGGAGCTATGAGCCACACTTATTGTGTGAGGTCTGAAGTAGATAAGTGAAACTTGAACCCGGGACCCATTGGTTGGAATTCTCAAGCCACTTAACCATATCTCTATCTGTTTTAATATACATCAATCTGGCATACCAAGGTGTGCGTCGGTTTTTCACCGACAGAACACTAGCCTACCACTCGCACGGCTCATGGTTCGATTCCCGGCTGGTGCACTCCTAAATCTTGCTTAGCAGATAGTAAGCCGGGTAAAGAGGGAAGTTTGAGCGTAGGTCTAGCAATCCCACTATGTAATGAAATACTACTGCTACTGAACTTCAATGCGCAAGCTTGAAGCCCTGTAGTCGTTTCGCATGGCAAAGGAATGAGAAAAAGACAGTTTATAGATATGCATGAAAGAGTACAGAATGCTACTATTGAGCAACAAATGAAATAAGATATTGATTAAGGCGCATGACTTGTTAGCACTTCTCATCTTCCATCTTGGAAGTTAGTATCTTTGTAGTAAGCCCCATCCGAAAGGAAGTATTGGTTTTGTGTGATAGCAGCACCGGGAGGGAATTTACTTGAGGCTATTCAAAGATGTTTGTGTTTGTTGTAAACTTCTGTCTGCACAAAGAAAGCTTTAGTATTATGAGTAAGGAACTGTACGGCAAAATGGAATACAAACAGTGTTGAAGTAGGACATTGTCTAACTGTTTCTCTTTTAGTTATTACGGCCAGAACAGTAATAGTAATTGTAGTTATCTGGCTTAATGCAGTGACATGCCTTTTTTCAACCGAAGGTAGGAGCTTACATGCAGACCCCCACAATGATGTAACACAACTTGTCTTTCAGTAGCACCGTTATATATCCAACCGACATTGGGTTACTTCAGTTGATAAAGCTCATTGGTTTGTCTCATTATGCAAGTCGACTGACATAAAAGTAACAATCTAGTTTTAAAACCTGGTTAACTTTTAGGAAAACATACAGAGAATTTAATGTCGTTTATAACTTCTTTCCAGGCAGTGGTGTTAATCTGCTGTTAATCACTCCAGAAAAGGCAATAAAACTAGTTGGCAATGATTTCTTCCGTTATCACTTGAAACCTGAAGGGTGAGTTTAAGCAATATATTATTTATAGCCTTCAGTGATTCTTAAATTTTAAGCCATAAGTTTCAGTTTCAATCCAAATATTGTTAGTGTTCTATTTCTTACGCTTTTGCTTATTTAATTGTTCTACTTGTCAAATATGTTGGAAAGAAGCATCTGGTTAAATACATAAATATTACTATTATTGTTTCCTTTAGTTCCTAGAGGAACATAGGGCTTCAGCAACACGTCTCCATTGCGTTCGGTTCTCCGCCAACGTTTTCACCTGGCTTCACATCTGCCCACATGCTTTCATCTCCTCTTCACATGACCTCCTCCATGTCACCCTCGCACTGACGACCAACTCGCCGCTTCCCATTCGAATTCCACTCGAGTAATGGCCTGGTGTGTAATGTCACTTGGTGGTTTGTTTTCTCAGAGTATGGCCAATCCACCTCCATTTATTCCTGCATATTTGTTGCACAATCGGTTCCTGCTGGGTTGGTTCGTTCATTACCAGAGATCCCTGTTGCTGATCTTTTCTGACCGGCCATCTGATCTTGAGTACTGGGCGAAGACAGCTGTTGATGAAGGTATGTAGTTTGTTTGAAGTGGCCTTTGTGATGCGGTGCAGCACCAAGTCTCTTATCCGTATAGTAGCACTGACCTCACATAACAGTTGAAAATCCGGATCTTATTTTTCACACTGAGTGCTGTTTATCTCCACATGGACTCGAGAGTAATGAAAGCTTGCCTTACTTTTCCCATCGTCGCTTTGATATCCTCATTAGTTCCGTCCGCCTGTAGTTGAAACGATGCTTCCCTGGTAGGTAGGTAAAGGAGGTTGCTTCTTCCAGATTTCTCCCATTTATGCTGGCTGATTGTTGTCTCTTGTTGTTGTTGTTTCTGTTGGCCATACATCTTCATCACCTCCGTTCCCACCTTCTTTATGTTCACCTGAAGTCCTATCTTTGATGCTTCTTCAATCGCCAACTTGTTGCTTTCCACTTGCATATCTTCCAGTTTGTGGGAAATCAGACATTTCATTGGCGAAATCCAGATCCTCCAAGTTTTTGTATGGGTCCATTTTATGCCTGTTTCCTCGCTGCCCAGTGTCTATCGCATTTCCCGGTCTACTGCAGTTAGGGAAATCATTGAAGATAGTAGGCTACCTTGTCTTACTCCTGTCTTCACCTCGAAGAATTCCGTGAGTTTCCCGTTGTGGATAACTTGTCATGCAGCATTGTCTTGCAACAGTTGAATGAGGTGTATAATTTTTGGTGTCATTCCGTAGTGGCGAATTAGTTTCCAAATCACCTCTCGGTCGACTCTGTCGAAGGCCTTTTCAAAGTCGATGAAGTTGAGGTAGAGAGCTGACTCCCATTTAAGCTCTGTTAAATAATAATACGTAGTGTTGCGATTTGATCGATGCATGACTTGTTTCTGCTGAATGCAGGCTGTTTCGGTCTAAGTTTTTCATCTAGGCCTTGTTTGATTCTCTTCAGGATGATGCGGCTTATTATTTTGCTTGGGATAGACAGGAGCATAATGCCGCGCCAGTTCTTGTATTGACTTTAGTCTCCTTTCTTTGGCAGTTTGAATAGGTAGCCTTTCTTCCAATCCGCAGGTACTTTGCCTTCTTTCGACAGCTTCTTCAGTAGTGCTGTCATCAAGTCCGCTGTTGTCTCTGAGTCCATTTTCATTGCCTCTGCGGGGATTCCGTCTGACCATGCTACTTTTCCAGTTTTTAGCATTTTTATGGCTTTCAGGATTTCCGCTTTCATCGGAGGCTCGGTAAAACACATAACTACGTCTTATGAATAACTACAAAAAGTTATTATATGAGATATGAGTGTTATAATAGTGTTTTTCTCAAAGGTTAAACAACAGTCACAAAGTCAACTGCTAAAAAACAAAAAGAAATTCTCAAATTCGGTTAGTTGATGCAGTCGTACTTATATACCAATCAGGCTAGAAGCTATAAATGATGCTTGATATTCAACAATTTAATTTTAATTATCTGCTGTTTGAATTCAGTTTCCTGGGACAAATTCTCCATGCATCAGGTTAGGATGCATACATACGAGAGCTGCTAACACTAGCCAGTTACTCAGATTGAAGTAGGTGGAGCGAGGCTCGAACTCAAGATGCATTGGCTGTTGTATGTCGAGTAATTAAGCCAACAAGCGATATCTTCAGTAAGCAAAACACATTAGTATTTATAAGTTGAAATTGGAATTAAGCATTTAAAGATACTGTCTCCATATCCGTATATTTTCAACTTGTGTAAAGTAAATCATCATTCGACTGAATTTCAGATATTTACCAGATTTTCTTTAAAGTAGTCAGCGCCTAATCCATCTACTTATTGTGGAGACCATTGTTCACTGACTTAAGCACTCGACTTTTAGTCATTAGGTCTTGGGTTTGAGCCCCACTCCACCTACTTGAGCCTTGGATAACTGGATGGTGTCATTAGCCCTTGTGCACAATAAGTGTGCCTCATAGCCTAATATTAGGTAATTGAGTAATAACTAACTAACCACTTTTATATTGGTTTTATGAATCTTTTATTAGGAAACCTCTGACGCCTATTCGTGAAATGCTTGCTGGAGGAGGTGCAGGAGCTTGTCAAATCATTGTGACTACTCCTATGGAGTTATTAAAAATACAATTACAAGATGCTGGTCGGACAACAGGTCAGTATTAAATGTTTTTGTTGTTGTTGTGAAAACAGTATGAACTTAGAACTTTTCTAGATATGATAGTTTTCACCAATTTACAGTCTCTAGCTTGTCACTCATGGTATCCAGAAGTATATATTAGATGAACACTTACTTGGGAAGTACCATCAGCCTCAACGGGTTGATCTCCGACGAAATCTCAGCACGAATACAGAGGGCTAGTTTCGCATATGCCAGTTTACGCCGTCTCTGGCGTAGACGCGATATCCGACTATCGACCAAAGGGTGTGTTTACTGCTCAACAGTCCGCTCCATCCTCCTTTATGGTTGTGAGACCTGGCCATTGAGAGCGGAAGACATGAAAAGGTTAGCTGTGTTCGATCATAGGTGTCTGCGTTCTATCTCTCGCGTGAAGTGGTATAATAAGGTGAGCAATATTGAGGTTAGGCCATCGGTCGAGTGCTAGTTGGTAAGGAGGGGAAATCAGTCGACGAGACTGTGAAATTACATCGACTGAGATGGTTGGGACATGTATTACGTATGCCTAGTTATCGCCTTCCTCGTCGGGCAATGTTAGCTGATATAGGGCCAGGCTGGAAAAGAGCTAGCGGCGGTCAAACGAAAACATGGCACTAGTCAATGAAATCCACAACAGTTAGTCTAAGCCACGTAGGAAGGTGTAGACTTCCTGGTTGGGGTCCTCGAGACGGTAAAAACCAATGGTTGGAAACAATTGGTGACATGGCTCAAAATCGTTCTCAGTGGCTGGCGCAGATGCATCCACTCCTTGTGACTTATGATTTCCGTTATTACTATTCCTTTGTCTCACAATTCTGTTTACTGACTATATTATGCATTTCTCATACTTTCTTCTCTTGCTTTGTGTGCTACATGGAGTGTGGCGACTTGAACTGCCACGATTCCAACTCGCACGATCTCCTCCAGATCACTGTCGGACGACCCACGCGTCGTTTTCCATTTGGATTCCACTCGAGTGATGGCGTAGATGGCGCATGATGTCATTCGATGGTCTCTTAAGCCTGTGCCGAATCCATTTCCATTTTCCTCTGCATATTTGTTAAGCAATGGGCTCTTGGTTGGTTTGTTCCCACAGTTTCTTGTTGCTGATTCTTTTTGGCCATTTGGTCTTGAGTATGGAGCGAAGACAGCTATTGATGAAAGTCTGCAACAGGTTGTTGGAAATCCTTTTCGTGACACGCCAAGTTTTTGACCCCCATAAAAGGACAGACTTGATATTGGCGCTGAAAATCCGAATCTTGTTCTTCACTCTGGCTGAGTGCAAAAGATTTCCAAACTGGTTTCAGGTTGATTAAGGCGTATCTTGCCTTTCCGATTCTGACTTTGACATCTTCATCCGTCCAGCCTGTAGTTGAAACGATGTCTCCTAGCCAGAGAAGTGAAGGGAGGATGTAACCTCTTTCAAATCTCTCCCGTTGATGGTGACTGGTGCTGTTTGTTGTTGTTGCTGTTGGTTGGTTATTTTCATAACATCCGTCTTCTTTATGTTCACCTGGAGTCTTGTCCTCGCTACCTGATTCTTCTGCCAGTTTGTTACTTTTCACCTGCAAATCTTAGAGTCTGGGTGACATTAAACATAAATCATCCACATGCAAAATTCAGATATTCTAGAGTCTTCCCATTGGTCCAACGTATTCCCGTCTTCTCACTCCCAACGCACAGTCTGCCGCCTAATCCAGTCCTCCACATTCAGGAATATTATTGATGATAATAGGCAGGCAGTCTTGTCTTACTCCTGTATTCACTTCGAACGCTCTCGCTGAGTTTCCCGTTGTGGATCACCTGACACGTGGCATTGTCAAATAGCCAGCCGTTGAATGAGGTTGATAAAGATTTGGGCACTGCACGCCGTAGTGTTGAAGTAGTTTCTAAATTACTTCACTGGATAAATTACATCATTTAAACTTCTGATCCGTGTTAAGAGGTATAAGATGATGGTGGTAGAGTTTTGACTCCACTGGTCTAGACGCTCGACTTTCAACCATTGAATGATGGGTCACTTTTGAACGTCGCACCACTTACCCGAGGTTTGGGTGGGCGGCCAGGTAGTATCGTCATCAGCCCTCACACAACAGGTTTTTTTCCCATTTACATAAGATGGTGAGTAATATTTTGAGGTTAGGCATAGTGTTAGGTGGTAAGGAGCGGAGAAATCAATCGATTACGTTGGGAAGCTGCTTTGATTAAGGTGGCTAAAACACGTATTATGCATAACAAACCATCACTTTAGTCGTTGAGCAATGTTAGCTGATTTAGGATTATGCTAGAAGAGAAAGTCAGGGCTAGTCAAACCAAAATCTGGCATCAGTCGATAAAGTCTTTGAGAGTTGTTCCATTATGGAAAAAAATTTATTCTGATAAAATCTCACAGGGTTATACAGTAACATTTGCTGGTGACGTTTCGAGCACAGTTTATTGCTCATAGTCATATCATCTTGATATGATTGTAATTTATTACCATTTGCTTGTTCGCTGAAATTATTATTACTTCTGGGTAATCCTACGTTTTCAGTGTTTCACTCTGAAAATGACGGTTGGTAATCCTTCCTAATGTATCTTATTCACGTTATGGCTACAAACTTAGGGCTTCGTTGATTGACTCAACTCATATACGGAAAGCTATACTTCTACATTGCCTATGTGATGATTCCACCAAATTTAAGTATTTTTATGGCGGCAGTTGTGTTCTAGTATTTGAGGTTTACCTTCACGAGTTTCTAATGACTATAGCTAGTTAAACATAGAACAGGCTACTCTGTCAACCCCAGCAAATTGGTCGCTGACGAAATCTCAGCACGGTTACGGTAGACTCGTTTGCAATTTGCAACTTACTCCATCATTGGCGTAGACGTGATATCCGGCTCGCTATCGAAGCAATGGCACATATACTGCTCAGCAGTTCGCTCCATCCTCCTTTATGGCCATGGGGCATGGTCATTGAAAGTGGAGGATACGAAAAGGCTAGATGTCTTTGGTCATGGATGTCTGCCTTCTATCTCCCGTGTTAAGTGGTATATTAGTGTGAGCAATATTGAGGTTAGGCTTCGGTTGAGTGTTAGTCACGTGAGGTGGGAAAATCAATCGATCTTCTAAATAGGCTGCATCTGTGGTTAGAGCTGGTTGTTAGCCAAAGTTGGTAGACAGTAATTGACGTCAACGTTTATGTCCCCAATATGGGTGGTGAGAAAATCAGAACAAAGGCTTTGCGTGGGCGGATACAGTTAGCATATGGATGATCTGACACAGCCACAAAGAAATGCAAGGTTAACTTTCTGTGAGAAACAACCAATCAAGGGACTGTATTTTCTACTAACAATAATCTACAATAGTGTACATTAAAATCTATAAATATGTGTTGATTTTCCTTAATAAACGATCTGTTGCCTGCCCGTTGTCTTCTGTTGTTACACATCGACTGAGGTGGTTAGGACAGGCATTATGGATGCCCACCCATCACCCCAACCTTCCGATGGACAATGTTAGCTGACATAGGATCAGTTCGCAAAGGAGCTAGTGGTTGTTAAACGAAAACATGGCTTCATCAGTGAATGAAATCTATAACAGTTAGTTTAAGCCATTCAGTCACATAGGGAGGTGTAGACTTCCGAGTCAGGGTCTTTGAGATGGTGAAAACCAATGGTTGGAAGCAATTGGTGATATGACTCAAAATCATTCTCAACGGCTGGCGCAGATGCATTTACTCTTTGTGATTTATGATATTCAATAAAGCTCTATTGTTCTTCCATATTACTAATCTTTTTCCCACACACTTCTGTTTGTTATCTGTCTTTTGAACTTGCCTTTACTCTCTTCTCTTGCTTTGTGTGCTACTTATAGGGAGTGTGCTAAATCGAACTGGCGCACATCTGTACACACTGTTCTATGTTGAAACCATTCAGTCAGTCAGTTAGTTGGGGTTTTCTAGTTTTTGATTTGATCATTAACTCACAATTTTAAAAAAATCGATAATTTTCATATGTTTTGGTGTTACCTGTCAGAATTTTTTCTGTGTATTATTTCGCAGTTATTATTTTCTGTTGTTGAACTTTTCAATATACTTTCTGCTAGCCCATTTGGAGTGAATTGACTCGCGTACGTTTGCATGCAGATTTGCCTTCCTTACTCCCCTTTTTTATATTCCGTGTTGATTTGTGCTGAGTGTGTGTGTGTGTTGTGTCTTAGTAAATGAGGATTGACTGAAGAATATCAAGTTTAGTGGTTTCTTGAATTGAGTGAGAAATTTTTAAAATTATCCTGACAGGTGTGTATATTTATATAGAAGTAAGTATACCCTAAATAATTCTTCCCAAGTTTGTTTACTAATTTTTGACCTATATACTTTGTGTATGCAATAGTGAGCTCTTTAAAACATCATCTGTCTGCAAAAATGTTGCCTATAAGACAGTCTAATATACTAGTAGTAGTGCCTTGATTTTCTTCCTTTGTGATGTGTGTGTGTGTGCGTGGGCGTGTGGTAAAAAGTACATTTTTCAAGAATTGTATGCTTTTCTTAGATTTTATTTGAAGCTGAGATATTCCACCTTACTTTATTCAAACCTCTGTATACACATCTCTTAATTTTTTCTTCCGTACAACAATATTATAATGTTACTTCATTCTACGAATATCTTTCAGTTCCTGTGGCTAACGTGACCGGTATTGGTGGCAATGGTACATCTACGGTAACACGATTGTCTGCTACTCAGATTGCTATGAAATTACTTCATGAAAAGGGAATATTTGGCCTTTATCGTGGAATGGGGGCTACATTTTTACGAGATGTATCATTTTCTGTGATGTATTTCCCATTGTTTGCGAATTTAAATGCTTTGGTAAGTAAGGCATTATTGTTAATTATCATTTTATCGGTTTTAATTTTGTTTGTATTATTATCTAATGGTAACTACTAGCAACTACACAATATGGTCTGGGTTCGATACCCGGCTGAGGGTCTCCTAAAACTCGCCTAGTTTACTAGAGAACAGTAAGGCTGGAAAAGAGAGGAGGTTGGGCGTAAGGCTAGAACCCCCCCACACACAAACACACGATATTAAACATCACTGCTATTGAGACTTTAAAAATTAATTTTTTGAACTCTCCTATGTTCCACTCGAAATGGGAAGGGATGAAAAAGAAACGACTAGCAATGAAATGCCTAATCCATGTCTTTCATCCTATTCGAGTTGTTTTGCAACGACAGAAGACAAGGGCCAGGCAACAGATTGTTTAGTGAGAAAATCAAGTGGTATTTATAGATTTTTATGTACATTATTGTTAGCGGAGAAGCAACCTCTTCTGATTGGTTGTTTTCTTGCTGAAGGTCATTCTATTATCTCTTTGTGGCTGTTTCTCAGAAAATCGACAGATATACCTGCGAATCATATTTCCACACGTTAATTCCGCTGTGATTGGCTGGTGATTTTCTCAAGGTTAGGTCTTGTTATTGTTTTTCTCATAAGCCTGATTCGGGATGTAAACATTGACGTAAATTGTTGTCTACAATTTTGGCTTTCAGCCAGCTCTCACCACAGTATAATCCAGTGATGCTTTTGCCACTAAAAAGTGCTTGCATATAGATGGAAGGGGTAAGACTTGTTGCTTCTATTGAAAAGGGGATTATTTATTATTTTTATTAGTTTCAAAATGGAAAAAATCCCCTTTAAGATAATTAGAAAGCGAAAGGATTAAACGAAGAAATGTTTGCTTTTCAATTAGATCCTCATCTCTGGCTCTACTCTAATATATATAAAATTTCTAATACAATACACAACAATTTACCAATCAAGTGCCACTGACATGTTTGTTAACAATAATTAATTCATAAGTTGCCAGACCGTAGGTGTTACGAGCTTCCTGGAATAATTTGAGCGCCGAGTCAGATTGATTCATTATAAATTATTTAAAAAAATCCGAATTAATTTGCTGAAGAAGCTGTGGCTTACACAGCGAAACGTTCAGAAAAATCTTGTTTTGATTTTCTTAACACGCTGGGATTAATTTAAATAATTTATAATGAATAATTAATTCATATCACCATGTCACGGGGTTTGATAATAACCAAGATAGATAATTCAAACAATTAAAAGGTAGAAATGATTACAACAATGGTAACATGTAATTAAAGATATGAAGTAGTTAGAAAAATAATAAAATAATTTGGACAGTTATAATTTTTTAAAGGTTCAGGGGCGAAGTAGTCCGGTTTATACATTCATGTAACGATGACCAAGGTAAGGAAAGTGGCTGTACAAATTTCTTCTGAACACACAGGTTTGGCTTCTTCTTCTTCTCAGGTGGATTCCTATGGCTTCAGCTGTAGGTATGTAGAAGACGAACTCGTAAAGCGAAATTAAGATTAGTAGGAATGCGATAAATAATTTTAAATGCTGTATTAACATCAACTTTATGTTCACTATCTACAAGGTGTGCTAAAACAGAGCTACGAATAGATCTTGTTTGTCTCTTGCTTAACCATATAGGATGGTGTTCGGAAATACGATGATGAACCTGCCTGATTGTACACCTAATGTAGCTGGCTCCGCAGCTGCAGTCAAACTGGTAGATACACATAAAGGAGGCGAAATTAGGAAGTTTGTCTTTATTTCTCGAGCGTAAAATAGGGGTGGTAGTGAAGAGATAACGTACCTCTGCTGCATTCGAAGCTCTGTTAACTGTATTCTTCGCTGATGTTGTCACTGAGGAACTTCATTTTTATAAACAATGGTTATTTTGGAGCTGTTGCTATACTCACTCTCCTTGGTGTTAAATTCATATTTATCTCAGTGAACTTATCTGTATAACCATTTTCCTAAGTAATTCTCTAATAATCTTAAGCTCCTCATTGAGAGAGTCCTTTGAACAGATTATCCTATCTCTATGAACTAGACACTTTACTAAGTTACGTTTATGCTTCACGGGTGCAAAACTCAAAAAAATGAGTGTACTGACCTGTTGTTGCAGGTTTCGTCCACACACTCCTTCTTAGTATTTCATCTTCTTTCCTGGCCAGGAAAACGTCTAGGAATGAGGTACTGTCATTACTTCCTTTCTCTATGGTGAAGTTTATTGCTGATTGCGCATCATTGAACTTGTCGAGGATGTTCATTTCTTCCTTCTCATTTTCCATAACCAGAAATGTATCATCCATATATTGGCAGTAGAGATCCAACTCCTTAATTAGTCCTTTTAGCAGTCTATTCTCTAACTTAGCGAGGAAAAAATCAGCTAAGATTGGACCTAATGGGGAACCCGTAGCCACACACTCAGTTTGTCTGTAATATTCCTTATTGAATAAGAAATGAACATTCACTGTACATCTTAAAATAAGTTCCTTCATGTGGGATACAGAAATACCAATGTCTATGTTTCGCATAGTAATCTCATCACATATAAAATCCACTGTCTCCATTAACGGTACATTGCTGAACAAGGAAGATACATCAAAAGACATCATTAAACTTGTCATTCACATTTTTTTTTCCTTCACGTTCCCCAGTGGAACATAGGGCTTCAAGCTAGTGGCTTGAAGTTTCTGTATCAGTGTTTATTTTACAGGATGAGGTTGCTAGCCTTATGCCCAACCTTTCCTCTTCACCAGCTTTTTAGTTCTGGCTTAGCGAGGTAAAGGAGTACGTCTGTGGCCGGGGATCGAACCCCGGACCATGTGCATGGTCGGCGAGCGTCCTAACCGGCTATGCCACCGACGCATTCACATTAAGATCTCTTATTTTTTGACAAATTCAAAACTACCCTTTACACTGTGTTTTACCAACTGGTTATGCAGAGATTTCAGGAGCTTCATCAACCATTTTGTTGTTGCGTAATATGGGGAATTAGACATGTCCAACACTTGTCAGAGTGGCAAACCATTTTTATTCACTTTTGGTAGCTCATATAATCTTGGTGTTACTGTACCCGTAGGCTTGAGTAATCCATTTGTAAACCTTCTGTGATGTTACCTTGTTGTTTAAGTCTTTTTGTAGTGGCTCATTTAGTTATCTCTCAACTTTTTCAGTCGGATTAATGGAAGTTTAACTTTTTTTAATTAACGTCTAGTTGATTGATGATTGACTCATAAGGTTAACAACAGGAAATTACAGTCATTAAAAATAAGGCATACCTCAGCATGTGCGTCGGTGACATAGCGGTTAGCACGCTCGCTGACCATACACATGGTCCGGGGTTCGATCCCCGGCCACAGACGCACTCCTTTACCTCGCTGAGCCAGAAACAATGCTGATGAAGAGGAAAGGTTGGGCATGAGGTGGCTAGCAACGTCATCCTGTAAAAATAAACACTGCTACAGAAACTTCAAGCCACTAGCTTGAAGCCCTATGTTCCACTAGGAACGTGAAGGAACAAAAAAAAATACCTAAGCGTAGTAAGATAGCACTCTATGATGTTTGAAACAGAAGTTTCAGAATAGATATGATAAGTCACTGAGACATATTTAGTGTTAATCTACAAAGCCAGATTCATGACTGATGGATGGTACAATTACTAATGAGATGAAATAAAAAAGGATTTTATCTCTGATTATATTAATTACACTTGAATGGATAATGAGGCTTAGTCAACCATGATAATCAGTCATTATGATATGTAGAATTTTTTCTAGAAAAAAGAAAGCAGAATACCAACTCTCAAAAGAGATGTGTTAGATAATTGGGCAGGCAAGAGGCCTATCCTGGATGAGTTTAACTAAGTATTGCGCTATCATGTCATATATTCTGGAAAAACTCATTTACAACGCACATTGTGATTAGCTTCTCAATGAGTATGTGAAATGGTAGGTATACACACATAAAGATAGTGCGTCAGTGGCACAGCGGTAGAATGCTCGCCAACCATGCCACACATGGTTCGCGCTTCAATCCTTGATCTCGCTAAGGCACTGATAAGACTGGTAAAGGGGGAAGGTTGGGAATAAGACCAGCAACCCCATCTCGTGAAAATAAAACCACCGCTACCGAAATTTCACAGCTCTAGCTTGAAGCCCTACGTTCCATTAGGGACGTGAAGGAATAACAAAAGATGGAATGCTGAGAAACAAACTACTGCTCATAGTCTCTCATCTCCGCCTAACACGATCTCTTCCATGTCACTCGTGACCTCCGAACTCATCGTTTCCCATTCTGGTTCCACTCTACCGATGTCCTGGTTCACGATGTCACTCAACGGGCTCCTCATCAGTGTACCCGATCCATCTCCATTTAATTCCATATATTTGTGGATTGACTGATTGGTTCGTTACCAGAGTTTCTTGTTGTTGATTTTTTCCGACTGACCATTTGATCTTCAGTATGGAGGCAGTAAAGGCAGCCGTTGTTGTTAAAAGTCCGCAGTTTGTTACTAGTGGTTTTCATGAGGCACCAAGTTTTGGAATCATATATAAAAATTAACTCAATATTGATGTTGAAAATCTGAATTTTGTTGTTTATGCTGCGGAGTGAATCAGGTATCAAAACTGATTTCAGAGTGATAAGGGTCTGCCTTGCCTTTCCAATTCTGGTTTCGACATCATCCTTGCCTGTGCCTGAAGCTGAAACGATTCTGCTTAGATTATTGAAGGAAGAAGTGACCTCTCTAGAATTTCTCCCGTCGATAAGGATTGGTGCTTGTTGTTGTTGTTTTTTTTGCTTGGTTATTTTCACCACTTCCGTCTTCTGTGTGTTCACTTGAAGTCCTGACTTGACGATCGCACATAAACTCTCATTATCTTCCCATATGATTTCTTCCATGTCATATTCAAACGCTTAACTCTCCGTCTCCCATTCGGGCCTGGCACGTGATGTTAATCAACAGTCTCCATAGTGTATGTCCATTCTATACTTTTTCGTATTTGTTAGGCGATAGGTTATTGGATGGTCCCTTGTTGCCAATACTTCCTGGCACGCCATCTACTCTTCAATATGGAGCCAGTGAAGGCAGCTGTTGATAAAAGTCTGCAGATAGCTGTTGGAAACGCTTTTCGTGACTTGAAATCACCGTTGAAATCCGAATCATGTTCTCTACACTGGTTGAGTGCAACAGATTTCCAGATTGATTTCAGATTAGTAACGATGTGTGTGCCTCATCTTTTAGATCCTGGCTGGTTTTGAAAACCTCATCTGTGCTGAGCAGCCTGCATTTGAAGTAATTCTGTCCAGATAAGTGAAAGTAATAACCTCCGTTGATATATTATAGTGAGATTTTGTGCTTGCTATATGGTGTGTACAAAAAATAGTTTGACTACAGAAACACTGTTATTCTTTCTTTTGGTTTCACTAGACATTTTGTTGTATTCACACTACCCCAATAGATATTTATCTACTAATACACAGTGGCAATTTATTTATTGTTTTTTTCTAGGGTCCTCGAAGGTCTCCAAATAGTTGTGAAGCTGTATTCTACTGGTCATTCTTATCAGGATTTTTAGCTGGAACGATTGCAGCATTCGCTGTGACTCCATTCGATGGTAAGTGGTGGTGTAATATTATATTTTAGAATTGTATAAAACTTCAATTTGTGTGCGTATACACATATACACACGGAAGAAACATAAAGCATAGCTTCTATGCTTGTTCATAGGAATATGTGTATGCTTTCCAATTTGATCACGAACTGACTTCAGATAGAGAACGGTTTTGTAAACCAAAGAGCACTGGGCGGATGGCAGCCGAAGAGTCTCAAACCAGGGCGAAACAACTCTCCAGTATTCTCTACTGATTTCCATCAATATTCTTCTAACTGAAGGCACTTCATGATCAAAATCAATCTCAACTCCTTGCAAGCGAACACTTTAAAATCTCTATCTAGTGCTCACTAGATAGGCCCACTACAGGATGAATTCGCCTAAATCTCTAATGAGAAGTTGTGATCAGCTGGGTAACACGAAGATGGGTGTGAGGATAAATGCTCGCTGATGACATCGGCTGGTAGACGTGCTACATAATGCGAATCGGTAGAACTCATAATTGATAGACTATTTGATTTCATACTAGTAGCTGAGTGGTCGACAAAACTTCAATGTGTGGGGTTGTGGGTGCATACTGCTGTGGAGTCCTAGACCAGGACGAAACAGCTATCCAGTACTCCTTAGTTTTTTAAATGCTTCTCTGATCGACCAACTGACTAACTGGTTTCAACATAGAAGGTGCAAAAGATAGATAACAAACAGAAGTGTGAGGGAAAAAGGTTAGTAATATGGAAGAACAATAGAGTTTTATTGGATATGATAAATCACAAAGAGTGAATGCATCTGCGCCAGCCATTGAGAATGATTTTGAGCCATATCATCACCAACAGTCTCTCCATCTATTGAGTCTTCACGACCCCGCGGACTCCAAGTGGGTAGTCTACACCTCTCTGCGTCGCTCAAATAAACTGCTACTGATTCCGTGGAATGATGTCAGGTTTTGATTCGACCACTCCTACCTCTCTCTTCAAGGAGACAGGCATAAAATGGATCCATATAAAAAACTTGGAGGATCTGGATTTCGCCGATGATATATGTCTGATTTCCCACAAACTGGAAGGTATGCAAGTGAAAAGCAACAAGTTGGCAGAAGAAACATCAAAAATAGGACTTCAGGTGAACATAAAGAAGGTGGAAACGGAGGTGATGAAGATTCCTGGCCAGCAGCAACAGCGAGAGCAACAACAATAGACAACAATCAGCCAGCATAAATGGGAGAAATCTGAAAGAAGCAACCTCCTTTACCTACCTACAAGGGAAGCATCGTTTCAACTATAGGCGGATGGAACTGATGAGGATATCAAAGCGACGATGGGAAAAGTAAGGCAAGCTTTCATTACTCTCGAGTCCATGTGGAGATAAACAGCACTCAGTGTGAAAAATAAGATCCGGATTTTCAACTGTTATGTGAGGTCAGTGCTACTATACGGATCAGAGACTTGGTGCTGCACCGCGTCACAAAGACCACTTCAAACAAACTACATACCTTCATCAACAGCTGTCTTCGCCCAGTACTCAAGATCAGATGGCCGGTCAGAAAAGATCAGCAACAGGGATCTCTTGTAATGAACGAACCAACCAAGCAGGAACTAATTGTGCAACAAGTATGAAATGGAGGTGGATTGGCCATACTCTGAGAAAACAAACCACCAAGTGACATTACAAACCAGGCCATTACTCGAGTGGAATTCGAATGGGAAGCGGCGAGTTGGTCGTCAGTGCTAGGGTGACATGGAGGAGGTCATGTGTAGGCAGATGTGAAGCCAGATGGAAACGTTGGCGGAGAACCGAACGCAATGGAGACGTGTTGCTGAAGCCCTATGTTCCTCTAGGATCTAAAGGAAACAATAATAATAATATTAATAGAGGAATAATTGTAACTCTTTTCCAACCTGATTTATGTCGACTAAGATCGCCCGTCGAGGAAGATGGCGGTTCGGCATGCGTAACACTTATCCTAGCTGTTACATCGTCATCGGTTGATTTCCCTTCCTGAACTAGCATTCTACTCCTAACCTCAATATTACTGACTATATTTTACCATTTAACATGGGATTTACGACGCAAACATGTGTGATCGAAGACAGTTATCCTTCCCATATCTAACACTTTCAATAGTCAAGTCTCACTGCAATAAATAAGAACCGAGCGAACTGTCGGGCAATACCACAATGGACATTCTTGATGGATACTAGTGACTGTCATCACTTTAGATGATGTAGCTGCGTAAGTTTGAGTAGATTGCCTTAATCAATGCGCGATGTACTTCTCCAACACTTCCTTCACAACCATGTATTGCCACATCAACTCACTGTCGACGGTGTCGAATGTCGGCTACAGGTTAACAACTGTGGCAAGTTTTGAGCGCGGTTAAGTATGTCTGCGCTCCAAAATCTGTCCAGGCGACGTCCTAGTAGGTCAGTTGGTTAGCGTACCAGTCTCAAAATCTATAATGGGTAGTGCCTTTCTGTGTTTAGCGTGTGACACTTATCAGTCGCTTCACAAGCGTTTCCTATCCAACAGAGGGAAACTTCATTCAAACATTATACTATACTGTACTATAAAAAACAAGTTCTACCTAATTTACTGGTAAACATGAATACGTGAATGAATTTCAAACGTGGCCATCTTTTCTTTTTCTCCTTCTTCTTCTTATTCAAACACCAGTGGTCAAGACACGACTTCAAACAATTAAACATGTGGAAGGAGAGAAAGCTTTCAAAGGCATTGCAGATTGTTTCGTGTAAGTATTCTTTCCTTTTCTTTTTACCGGCTTTGCATTTTATGCTAGTGCATTCCTTTTCAATCATCATTATTTAGCAATCTGTATTGTAAAGGTTGCTAGATGATTGCAACACAATATAAATGTTAAAATCACTTTACACAAAATCTTCTAATGTAGAATATGATTGTCTAGTTTCATATTTCAATGAATATATGCATATATATATACATATATATATATATATATATATATATATATATGTATATATTCAAGAATTGGTTTGTAGGGATTCTATTAAGGTTAGACCATGGATTAATATCAGTTAGAGAACCATTGAAAATCAACAGGGAGTACTGGACAGCTGTCTCATCCTAGTTTGGGAATCATCGGCAGTAGGCACACACCGCCAGGATTCGAACCTCAGGACCTTCCAGTTACAAGGCAAGCTCGTATACCATTCAGCTACTGGTACCCGATTCAATGACCATCCCATGAATTCTAACTCCCTGGTTTTCCGTGGTACTCTAACTGATATCAGTTCGTGGTTTAACCTGCAAACCGATTCTTGAAAATTAATCTGATGCTCGCAAGTGACTGGCTACAGGACAAAGTTGTTTGGATTTCTAATGAGATGTCGTGACCAGTGAGGTTCATCCGGTCCATAGTGAGGATGAAGTTCCTGCCGATTATATTGATTGCTGCCAGTCGTGCTAAAATCACGAATTGTTAGAAGTTAGAATTCATGGGCTGCCGACTGAATCGGCTCCCAGTGGCCGAATGGAATACGAGCTTGTCTTGTAACCGGAAGGTCCTGGGGTTCGAACCCTGGCTGTGTGTGCCTACTCCCGACGAGTTCCCTGTTGATTTTCAATCGTTCTCTAACTGATAGTAATCCATAGTCTAACCTTAAACATATATATATATACATATATATATATATATACATATATCTATAATAATCATAATAATAATAATCACTTTATTCCACAACAATAACAATTTACAGCATGGAATTTTCAGCGTTTCTTTTACATATTGCAATGGTTTAGCTCTGTTTATAATTATATAAATGTATAAAATGTTAAAATATTGATAGTTAATAGGAAAAAATAAAACCCCAACAAAATCACACCATTGCTAGGTCATAGTGAATAATAAATAAATAATATAACAAATAACACATGCATTAATATGCATCATTACATTTTATAGTTTAGTTAATGATTTAAAAGTTGTAAAAGTTCTTTTCTGATATTTGTCTCTTCACACAATACTCGTGCCAAATATGGTACGGTCGAATTTTTATATTTTGTAGTACGAGCATAAATGTTTATGAAATTTCTTCTGGTCTTACCCGAAGAGATACAAGGAAACAATTGTGAATAAAGAGGATGTTCACTATCAGACAAGATAACTTTAGCTAAGTGTTTACAAGAATTCATATGCCTATTGACAACAGTGTCAGTTAGTTGAGTCAAAGGGATAGCACTGACCCTACTTACAGCCTTCAATGTTCTTCGTAGTATTATATGGTCTTTCTTGAGTAGCCCAGGGAAGAATAATGGAGAACAATAAAGAATGATGGGCAAAACACATGAATTAATAAATTGTATGAGAAGAGATTGGGTTATACCTGAGTGCCTCAACTTCTTTATGTAATAAGTCAGACGGAAAACTTTCTTAGAAACTATAAGAATATGAGACGACCAGCAAAGGTTTGAAGAGAAACTAATGCCAAGATAAGAAACACTTGACTTACTCTCTATCATGGCACCATCAATATTACAACAATCATGAGATTGGATCAATCCATGCATGTCTTTTTCACTTCTCAAGCTGAAATCAACAGTATTACATTTAGTTGGATTTAGTTTAAGACCATTTGAGCCAGACCAATCCTTAACTTCAGCTAAGAAGCCATTCATATGGGAACAATCCGATGTGGAAACTACAGGGACAGAAACGGTCAGATCATCAGCATACTTAATGAAGTTAACTTTGGGTGAGTTCGGAAGGTCATGCAAAAAGAAAGAGAAAAGAAATGGAGAAAGTACTGCACCTTGAGGCACACCACTTTCAGTTAGCTGAGAAGTGGAGCGCTTTCCAGCCAAAACAGTATGCTGTTTCCTATCCTTAAAATAAGAAGACAGCCATCTAGTTGCCCAGGACTCTGTTTGTGCTGAAATCATCTTTCCTAATAAAAGTGTCCTAGGAACAGAGTCGAAAGCTGCAGTATAGTCTAAAAAAGCTGTTCGAACGAACTTAGCACCCTTATCAAGGCAGGAAACAATATTGTGGTGTAGTACAATGGCTGCATCTAATGTACTTCTTCCACACTTATAAGCAAACTGCTTAGGGTCACTAAAAGCTTTTAAAGAAGGTTTAAGAATATTCAAAAGAAGTTTCTCCATAGTTTTCAAAAAAGGAGATGTTATAGCTACCGGTCTAAACTTTATACCTGCTCCAGAAGATGATTTCTGTACAGGTACAACCTTGATTTCTTTCCAGTCAGCAGGTACCGTTTCCCTGTTAAATGATGCATTAAAGATTTGAGTAAGAGGATGACACAAGATGTCTGCACACTTTTGAAGAAGAATGCTTGGTACACCATCTGGACCAAGGCTGTGTGTTGGATTTAAAGATTTCAAACATAATAGTACATCCTTTTCTTTAAAACCCGGAAAATGACCATTATCTTGACTAGGTACATCAGGTACAACCATATTAATTTGTTTCATGATAAATGATTTGTTTAAAGCATTAACATCAGAATAAGCATCAACAGACATTTGTTTTTTACTTGTAAGTTTATTGAAAAGTTTCCAAATGTTTGAAGGATTTTTACATGATAAAAATTTTTCTTTATATAGTCTGTTCAACCTTTCTATTTCAATTTTTATAAGGGTGTTTATTTTACGGACACCAGTATTATCACAATTTTTTATACAAATTCTCTTTTAGTCTTCTAAGTTTTTTCAGTTACAAAGAAGAGATTCTGTCAAATCTCGAAAACAGAGATATTACATCTTGGAAAATGGAGAAGATTACTTCGTTGTTGGGCGGGGAGCATGTAGTAGTGCATGTAGACGGGACAGTGTTGGTAAAGAAGAAATATAATCGTGGTCGTCAGAGAGCAAACAACATTTGGGTTATCGGTTTATACGACACGTCCCTTCGAAAAGGGTTTGTTGAAAGAATAGGAGACAGGAAGGCGAGCACTTTGATACCTATTGTAACTCGACTTGTCAAAAGGGGATCAATTGTGCATACGGACGAGTGGAAAGGCTATGATTCATTGTCATCTCTGGGTTACATTCACCATAGAGTGAACCACTCAAATGATTTCGTGGATCCTGTTACTGGGACTCATACGAATTCAACTGAAGGATTTTGGGGCCGCTTGAAAAATCGGATAAGGGCTATAAATGGATCCCAAAAGGATCTCATTTATAGTCATTTAGATGAATATATGTACAGAACGTGGTGCGACTTTTCTATTGACAGTCCGATGCTGAATTGGGAAATGTTTCTGTCCCATGTGTCGCGAAAGATACCCGTTGTAACTGTTTTATCCTATTTTTTATGCATTTTTCTATAAATATACGTTACCACTTATCATAAACGCCTCTTTCATGTGATTGGTCCGCCCAAGGTTGTTTGCTGATCGGTTGTTACTGGTGTCTAAAGTTTAACTTTGCCGCCACAATAATCAAAATGTGGCCTGCTTGAACATACGGCTACCAAAAATTCCACCTTACAACATTTTGCAAAATTGCTTTGGTTTGCTCTTTTAATTTATCAATAATGTGTTCTAATCGTATTATATATAATCGCGCGTCATTACAACCTACTGTGTTGTGTCATCCACAAAAATTGAGAAAAAAGCATCACTGTGGATGGCAGCGTGCACTGAAACGTACACAAATTAATCAAATGACTGTTCCTGAACTCGTTAGCACTAATTGTAGATCCCTGTCCAACAAAATGGATTATCTTCATTCCCTAATGTATTCTAATGTTTATCGAAATGCTGGCGTTTTAGCAATACAAGAGACTTGGCTGCACCAGCATTGTGATGATAATCTAGTTTCAATGAATGGATATAAAGTTTTCGCCAAGATAGAAAAAGTTCTAAGAAAAAATATGGAGGAGGGGTAGCCACTTTTATAAACACAAGTTGGTCTACATCAAATCACGTTTGCTTCAATTATTCTAATGACAATATAGATTGCATAACCGTCAGGTGTCGCCCGAAACACTCAAGTAAATATTCTTATATATACATAACAAATATTTACATATCACCCAATTGTAGCCTTTCTAATATAGTTATGTTTGCAGATGAATTTACTGAATTCGCTGCTCCTGCATTCGGAAACTCGTTGTCTATAGTCTGTGGTGATTTTAATTCATGTGATCACAGCTTTCTTACTTCACTTGGTCATGAGAATCTAGTCAAGTTTAATACACGTCTGGACAAATCACTAGACCTGGTTTTCATAAATGAACGTGATGTATTTGAAACCCGAAGGAGAGTTCCTTTGCTAAACTCTGACCACTGCATTATTCGTATTTTATCAAAAGTGTACGGCAAGTTACAACAAAAATTGTTTAGTCATTTAACAAAGAAGATACATGAACGTTCATATTCCCATGACAACATTCTAGCACTAAGAAGCATGTTGTATGATACCAACTGGGAACTATTTACTGACGATAAGTTGGATGCTACTGTCTCTAATATAACCGATTATCTGAAGTTTTGTTTGGAAATTTGCTGTCCATATGAAACACTGTTTTCGAGATTTGACAGAATCTCTTCTTTGCAACTGAAAAAACTTAGAACTTTTTCTATCTTGGCGAAAACTTTATATCCATTCATTGAAACTAGATTATCATCACAATGCTGGTGCAGCCAAGTCTCTTGTATTGCTAAAACGCCAGCATTTCGATAAACATTAGAATACATTAGGGAATGAAGATAATCCATTTTGTTGGACAGGGATCTACAATTAGTGCTAACGAGTTCAGGAACAGTCATTTGATTAATTTGTGTACGTTTCAGTGCACGCTGCCATCCACAGTGATGCTTTTTTCTCAATTTTTGTGGATGACACAACACAGTAGGTTGTAATGACGCGCGATTATATATAATACGATTAGAACACATTATTGATAAATTAAAAGAGCAAACCAAAGCAATTTTGCAAAATGTTGTAAGGTGGAATTTTTGGTAGCCGTATGTTCAAGCAGGCCACATTTTGATTATTGTGGCGGCAAAGTTAAACTTTAGACACCAGTAACAACCAATCAGCAAACAACCTTGGGCGGACCAATCACATGAAAGAGGCGTTTATGATAAGTGGTAACGTATATTTATAGAAAAATGCATAAAAAATAGGATAAAACAGTTACAACGGGTATCTTTCGCGACACATGGGACAGAAACATTTCCCAATTCAGCATCGGACTGTCAATAGAAAAGTCGCACCACGTTCTGTACATATATTCATCTAAATGACTATAAATGAGATCCTTTTGGGATCCATTTATAGCCCTTATCCGATTTTTCAAGCGGCCCCAAAATCCTTCAGTTGAATTCGTATGAGTCCCAGTAACAGGATCCACGAAATCATTTGAGTGGTTCACTCTATGGTGAATGTAACCCAGAGATGACAATGAATCATAGCCTTTCCACTCGTCCGTATGCACAATTGATCCCCTTTTGACAAGTCGAGTTACAATAGGTATCAAAGTGCTCGCCTTCCTGTCTCCTATTCTTTCAACAAACCCTTTTCGAAGGGACGTGTCGTATAAACCGATAACCCAAATGTTGTTTGCTCTCTGACGACCACGATTATATTTCTTCTTTACCAACACTGTCCCGTCTACATGCACTACTACATGCTCCCCGCCCAACAACGAAGTAATCTTCTCCATTTTCCAAGATGTAATATCTCTGTTTTCGAGATTTGACAGAATCTCTTCTTTGTAACTGAAAAAACTTAGAAGACTAAAAGAGAATTTGTATAAAAAATTGTGATAATACTGGTGTCCGTAAAATAAACACCCTTATAAAAATTGAAATAGAAAGGTTGAACAGACTATATAAAGAAAAATTTTTATCATGTAAAAATCCTTCAAACATTTGGAAACTTTTCAATAAACTTACAAGTAAAAAACAAATGTCTGTTGATGCTTATTTTGATGTTAATACTTTCAACAAATCATTTATCATGAAACAAATTAATATGGTTGTACCTGATGTACCTAGTCAAGATAATGGTCATTTTCCGGGTTTTAAAGAAAAGGATGTACTATTATGTTTGAAATCTTTAAATCCAACACACAGCCTTGGTCCAGATGGTGTACCAAGCATTCTTCTTCAAAAGTGTGCAGACATCTTGTGTCATCCTCTTACTCAAATCTTTAATGCATCATTTAACAGGGAAACGGTACCTGCTGACTGGAAAGAAATCAAGGTTGTACCTGTACAGAAATCATCTTCTGGAGCAGGTATAAAGTTTAGACCGGTAGCTATAACATCTCCTTTTTTGAAAACTATGGAGAAACTTCTTTTGAATATTCTTAAACCTCCTTTAAAAGCTCTTAGTGACCCTAAGCAGTTTGCTTATAAGTGTGGAAGAAGTACATTAGATGCAGCCATTATACTACACCACAATATTGTTTCCTGCCTTGATAAGGGTGCTAAGTTCGTTCGAACAGCTTTTTTAGACTATACTGCAGCTTTCGACTCTGTTCCTAGGACACTTTTATTAGGAAAGATGATTTCAGCACAAACAGAGTCCTGGGCAACTAGATGGCTTTCTTCTTATTTTAAGGATAGGAAACAGCATACTGTTTTGGCTGGAAAGCGCTCCACTTCTCAGCT